AAAAAAATTCTGCCCAACTCTAGAATGTGTAGCCGGCATACCGTCATCGCAACACCAGTCATGATCGCGTGCGGCACACAATAGCAGGTTTGTTGATTCTATTTTACAAATGATAATTTTTTCTCCTTTAAAACGCCACACAAATACAAAAGACTTAGAGAGCCTATTTGTGCACGCTCACAGCTTCTCGCATGTTTATAATCCTTGAGTTATTCTAGCCAGGCTATACCTTCTCTTTCAACTCATTTTTATCTAACTTCTTTTATGTAATTTTGTCAGTTTGACCTCTCAGGCTATTCAGCGGTTGAAATCTAACTTAGTTAAGAGGATATGTATATCATTGTATCATTCTTTGTTGATGAGATAGAATTACAATCAATTTTTAAGAAAGAACAGGTGAAAGCCTTCATTTTTCATTGATGAAATAAATTTTGGGGATATAGTGTCATGATAAAACGATCTACATCTATTACGGTAACGAAATCAGGTTAAATGACTGTGAAGCTTAAGTTCATAAGAAGGGAACGAGAAAAAAATGTACGAAATACGATATTTTCTCGGGGAACAAGAAAAAATATACGAAAAAAGTACGAATCCCATCTTTTACTGTAGCCTGGCATTGTCACGAACAACAAAACGAAGCAGTCAAGCAGACGGTGGCTCATGAGGGTAGCCCTCGTGTCATTGTCCTGGCAATTGTGGATTGTGCGAGGGACGAGACGTGGGACATCAGAATGAATAAGTTAATCTGCTGCGGCTAAAATAGTTCAAGGTGAGTGCTGTGCTAACTAGAATGAGAGGCCTGTACTCTTGGCTGTATCTTCATAAAATGTTGAGCATGGTTATATTATACTTATAGGATAAATTACCCAAACTAGAAACATTTATGTATACAGACAGTTTTTACGCTGTATCGCCATTTAAACCATTGCCTGCGCCATCTTCAATATATTTCGGTTTCAGCAAAGAAATCGAAACAAATTTAAAATTCACGTCTTGACCACAAGATTTGTTAAAACTATTTTAATAATGGATTTGATCGATTTTATTTGCCATGGTGATGTATTTTTTCTTGTCTTCGCTCACTTTTTTATATACTTTGAAAAACACATCGTGAAGCAGTTTATTAAGAGACTAGCGGGCCATTCACAATAATATGAGCTTGACTGGTATCTTACATGACGCTGGCAGAGTATCTTATGACAAACTCAGCTAACTGACACTCTATTGCGAGGGTAGTTGGAGTGAGGGTAGTGAGAGTGAGGGTAGTGAGAGTGAGGGTAGTGAGAGTGAGGTGGTAGTGGGAGTGAGGGTAGTGGGAGTGAGGGTAGTGGGAGTGAGGGTAGTGGGAGTGAGGGTAGTGGGAGTGAGGGTAGGGGGAGTGAGGGTAGTGGGAGTGAGGGTAGTGGGAGTGAGGGTAGTGGGAGTGAGGGCAGTGAGAGTGAGGGTAGTGAGAGTGAGGGCAGTGAGAGTGAGGGCAGTGAGAGTGAGGGTAGTGAGAGTGTGTTAGAAAATGCTAAATGAAACTATCTTCACTTTCGACGCGTACTAGTACTTTCACAGAGCGTTTAGATCACCTGAAATTTGATATAATTTTTCCATCAAGAAAATGGTACCTTTATTTTCAAACGAAATTTCAGCAACAAGAGATTAATTTCCCTTCTGCGTGCTCTTGATCTTTTGCTTGCGTCTTCTATGCGTCTGCTCATACGTCGAAGATTCAGCAGAAAAATCCAAAATTTCACGGATGCAAAAATAAATACAACTGCCATCTCATGCAGCACGGCCGCGACACGTCAGAGTGAGAGTTCTTTGCTTGAACCAAACGAGCGCATCTAGAGTAGCACTTATTATAATATACATAATTTCTCACTTCAAGGTCCTGAGACAGCCTAAAATAGCTCATTTATATTCAGAAATAAATAACATTCCAGATATAATGTTGAAATATTTCCATGAATCTACAATTTATCCAAGCAAATTTAATTTTTTCCGATGATTTATATTATGTAAAACGTTACATAATTACATAAGCATCACGTATGCAAAAGATCAACTACCTGCATAGAATGCTTTAAGGGTACTTGCTAGCATTAATCAATCCCATAACAGAACTCAAGCTATATACCGAGTATTTTTTACTAAAAACAGACAAGAACAATTTAAAAGTCAATAACAGTTGGAATTCATTTCAATAGCATGATAAAATAAAACTTTTTATGAGCAACCAGCACTGTTTTTCGAGATTGGTGCCGCAAGCTGTAAACGGTATTACAACGCCATGTGAATGACATACGTAGGTTTGAAAAAATATCAATACATTCGCATACAAGTTTTAATGAATTATAAATTTATGCATAAGATACTCTCGACTTCATTTTCCATTTCATCCATAAAGGTTTTTAGTAAGTTGCAAGAAACGAAAACATATTCTAAGGAACAAAATCATATTCGAGCAAGTTGTTCTAAAACTTAAATGCTTCTTGATTGATATTGATTTGTTTCAATGTATGTGCTAGAGTAATCTTATATTGCACTTCCACAGTAATTCTAACGGCTATTGGTCTGCAACTAATGAGCTGATGCCAATGTTCTCTAGAAAAATGCAAATAAATAATAGGTCTTCATCGGCAAGCAGAGTTATCATAAAGAACTTAAGAACTTCTACTCATATGCAATTAAAATTATGCCTTTTTACAACACTTCTCTTTAACTTCACTTCTTGTTGTTTGTTTGTTTGTCTGTCTGCTACAAATCTTATAATCGATATTTAACACACTTCTACCTCTTCAAACGATTTGAAATTTTGCACACATGTGTGAAGTTGGAGACAATTAATGCATGAATAAATTGACAGAATAAATGATTTTAAAAATTTAAACAAATATTTAATATTAAACAAATTGAAAAAATAATTTTGTCTGCTATAATATTTGATAATAAAATTAGAAATTCATTGTACATGTGTAACATTGGAGACGCTGGATTCTTTTGAAGTGTTGTCTTAAAAAATAAATTTTTAAACACATATAATTATTTTAATTATACCGCCTCATTATTTTACCTGAAGGTCATATTTTATCAACCATCGAATAATATAAAACGAACTCTATCTCTTCAATCAACCGAATAAGTGTACGCAACTGAAATTTATTTGTACAGTCATGTCGGATTTTACCTTGTAACTATATATAGACCGGTGAAACCTATTTGAGAGAAGGATCAGAAATCGAGTAGATTTCAATCGGATTAGATCATAAGATTAAATAAAAGCTAATTGAAATAACCAATCTTTGTTTAATGTTATGATAACCTATCTTAAGGCTATCACATTTTTTAATGAGTTGAACCCCGGTCATAAATAAGATTATACTGAATAAACATGTTGGTTCATGTATTATAAAATGTTTCATGGTGTTATTTACCAAGTAAAATGCAAAATTCTGGTTCTCAGAGCTACAGATTCCAAATTTTGAGCGGTTTAAACTTGTTTTTCAATCCTTGAGGTCACTAGTCCCATAGGCCTAAGGCTCAGGTAGCAGGCCTCCAAGTAGGACAAAACAGCAGCTGCGCCTATTGCCGGTTGACCATCTATACGTTTTCATGAAAAAAACAGTGTTCATATCTTTTTAAAAGCCACAAATCGTGGTATTCTATCATGTACAGATAACACACGCTATTGTAAAATACGTCAAGGTATTTTGTGAGCATTCCGAGCGTTGTAAACACCTTAACTGGAGGATGAAGGGATAAAAACATTACAAGTTTCGATGTATTTTATTTCATTAATGGTTATGTGTGTACAATATTATAGCCTCTCAAATCGGACTGCCAATGTTATTTATTTTTGTTGCTATGTGTCGGCAGGTGCGTTCACAAATGTTCTTCAAACGTTTTATCCTCATGTAGCAGAATATGTATTCAAGTCACACTGATGGTGCAATCCTTCACATAACTAATGGTTTGAGTTACGCACTTCACGAGACGGCCATTCAACACCAGTTTAGTGTGGCGGGCAATATGCCGGCGACTGGCTCTTGGTGAATTTAGTTGATACCACGCGAACAAATTCGGCTTATAAATGACCTAAATGAAAACTAACACGAAAATTCACAACAATTTCTAAAATTTTTGTGCCGTTAATGCGAGCATTTATCATGCATACGAGAGCTGACCGATGAGTGTAAATAGCTTTAATAATTTTTTTTCTCAAATTTAAAGCAATCGTTGATGAAGATATGTTATGGGTGCACACGAGCTTATATTAGAGTACTTGTGCAATCAAACGCTTCATGAATAAAATACTACGGATTTCAGGACCATAACATGAAAGTTGAATTAACCGGATTTTATGGTCCTATGCAGCATTCATGCGTTAGGTTTAACAGGCGTATATAATGCAATACAACAAAGATATATTGTGGCTGCTAATAACCTAAGACAAATAATTTCTTTTCGCTATATATATTCATAAGTGCTAATTATAATTTATAATTAATTAGTTCTATTTTTAGTAGATCTGTTTCAAATCTCTTCAGTATGTTAGAAGAATGACGAAGCCAGTTCAGCATGAAAATCCCTGAACGAAACTTATGCGAACATCACACCACAAATAAATTTATGAAAAAGGATTTATTAGACTCAATAACAAATTGACTCATGGGAAACTAAATCTGCATAATTATTATATTCAACAATAAACTGTCTAATGGGAAACTCTTACATTTAAGATAATAATGGTTTACAAGCTTGTCGTGTCCGACCATGATAGAAAGGTTGTGCGTGCAGCGATAAAATCACACGTGTTATTCGACTCCAACATCACTACCGAAATTCGTAAGGAATTTCCTCAGGAAGCGGGCGTTGCGCTTGAATCATATACGTCCGCTTTTCGGCCTCCAGCCGTCCAGGGGCCATACTTTCAAAACTCGCTAAGTGAACGTAAGTACTTACGCTCTATTTTCTAATCTATGATTGGTGGATTTTGCTTGAAAGGCCGTCAATAATTGGCTGATGAACTTACGATCTCTTAACTTTTTTTGAAAATATGGGCCCAGGTTATTTGTATGACTTACGGCTTTCTTATTGTTGCGGGTGTCTATACGCCTAAGAAGTTTGTTGTTAGGAAACTCGTGATATAGATGATCCAACAAGCACAAACAGTAGCTATTCAATTAATTTAAATTATTCACAAGGGTTAATTATGACCGGGTAAAGGGAGCATACAAATTAAATTAACCAATTAGAGACGTTCATGCAATGATAGACACAAGCATCATAGTCCAGTACATTCAGGGCAATAAATGTTCTGCTTGAAATAATAATATGGTGCTAACACAGAAAACATGCTGGTGATGGTGCCATCATATAAACGTCGTGATTTCCAGGAATAACGAGGAAATTCTTAGGTTTATTGCTAAAAAACCCAATAGTTCCAGTTGAGATTGGAGTTTGGTCATAAAAATCAAAGTTATGGAACGCAATGAAACCAAGACTACGTACCAATACAACTAAAGAGTTTTTAATGATCTATGCAAATTCTCAGCGGATTTTCGTTGGAGGCCGTGTTTGGTAGGAGCGTTTCAAAAGGTTATTATTCATTTATTAGGCTCAGAAAATTCTTTATTATGAGCCTTTTCAATCAGGCGTGAAGAGATTCGTCAGCTACGATTTGATGCATGGTATAGGCAGAGAAATTCGTTATACTAAGCATTTTCCTTCATTCCACTTCCATATAAACCCGGCTCAGGCATTATCAAGGCTTGTTCTTTTCGCATATATGTTCGAACAGCCATATAAGCTCACATTTGCTTGCAAAGAAACTTGAATGGATTTGAACACTTCGAATCGGCCACGTGGTAGAAATAACCGGCAGATGGTTTCAGAAGAATTCTGGCGCAATCAGAATCATTGTCAGGGTCATTTTTGCCCCAGTAGGGCGATGGGTGAACTGCCTGTATGCTCCCGTTTCCAAACCATTTCCAAGTTGTGATGTTCGAAGTACGGGTCAGGCCAATCCAAAGATCCGTGCTTGAAGCTGACATAAATGATACACGGATAATAAATTTACGTTTAGCAATTATTTCTGGCGTGATTTTCTTCACGACAAGACCACACCGTCAAGGCGCTTTTTGCTCTAGAAATCAATTGCACTAACTTGTTCTTTAAAAATGTTTGCAGTGTAACTTATTCAACAAACGAAAATACAATTTATTCATATTTGAACGTGAGATTGTGATTTTACTTAAGGTACTAGCCCTAGCGCAATCTAAATACAATTAACTGGTTGCTAAGATTGAAGATACCCAAACATGATTTGTTGTGATTGACGTGTTATGTGCGGCCCAGTGGCGCATATTAAGTCAATGATGGTATTTATTAATTTCTTATTTTGAATCATAAGTATTTTAATTAACGAGAATTACAATCAATGAGTACATCTCTTTTCCAACCCTTCAGGTGTAAAAACAAGAAATAAGAAAGGTACCCGATAAAAACTTGTCTCTGCATGAAGTGATCATTTAGCCGTACGGTCACTTTAATCAGCCGTTCTCCCACAGCGTATCAGGAAACAGGAGCAATTTATTGTTATTATTAAACTTTATAATGTATATTATATATACATTATATATATTATAATATATATTATATATATTCGAAATAGGCATGAAGTTGACACAACATATTGATCGCCAGCCTCACTATACATTCAAACTTACAATTGGCATTCTTCAAGAGGTATTCCCGCATGGCGTCGAAATCAACCAGGGAGTCGGCGGTGAAGAGTTGGGAGTTGCATGGACAGGAGGCCGACGCGGCGGTGAAGTTCAGTGCGACGGTGGAGACGTAAATGAAGCCCACGTTTTCCACGAGCGTGAAGTTGACCAGACATCCCTGGCCTGGTAACGATGTAATCAAGCGCATATTTTTCGAGGAGTATTAATTATAAATAATTTTTGTGTTGCATAAACGTTTATAAATTTAACTAGGTCTGTGCTAAGTTGATGATTTGGGTGAAATTGAATGAACTACCAACGATGTTTCATGAGAAGCTAATTCGCGATCCTTGATTTGCAAGCAGAGGCCTATTAAGTAGAGGTTGTGCTAACGAGACATGATTTACTTCAGATAATTGGAAATTATACTACTTGTCCTGAAGTATTACAATTATTTTGGATTAAGACCGAATCATTACATTTTTATAAGGGATAAATTTGATTTCATTACATTTTTGCACATAGGTAGGTATTCACTCATTATGAAGCAATAATCCCCTAAATAAAGATAAGAAAAATGGTCTATGCCTGACTTGGAAGGGAAAGCAAAATAATATGATATTTAACAACGTCTCCTCTTCTGCGCTCACGCTAGAAATTTTTCATAAAATTTAAGCGAATTCAAGTTACGTTTGTAGAACACCCTGCTGTCAGGAGCAGGGATCACAAGGCTGTTGGTGAATGCGATCTTTTGTTCGGTGAAGGAGCAGTGGAAGTGGCCTGGTAGGAGACGCCTGATGGCCACCGCGAGGCATGCGTCCCGGCACAGCGCGCGGCACTCGCCTGAAAGGGATGACATCCTCGCCAAAATTGTTTCATGGACAGTTCTTCATTTGTACGAAGCATGAACGTGTTCCCACTAGATTTATAACATGCAAATTCCAGATGAAACATTTGCCTGATGTAATTAAACGCACATGGACGCTGCACGACCGCGCTGCTCGAGATCGCAGTTGCGGCAATTTCCGCGCCCATGAAAGTCCTGAACGTATAAGCTGAGCCCTCCTCGATGCTGCAGCAGACGCACAGCAGCGCCCCGAGCGCCGCAAGCAGCCGCAAGTCCATCTTGCTGGGCTGAATTTTTTTGCAAAAACTATTAAAAAACTTGGAATTTGTCTATAGTGATAGTTGTATTTGTCTATTTTCCTGCACACATAATTTCATTTCACGAAGATGCTTCAACGGCTTGCATAACCTAGATCTTAGATCTACGAGTGTATAACTTTCCATGAAAATGCTCGATTCGCATAAAGAATGCATATGCAGCATACAATCAAAATTTCAAAATTTCCAGGAGTACTGTTTTTATCACGCTTCTGTTAGTCCCTTGGCACAGCATACAAAAGCAGCTTACTGATATGAATCGATAATCACAAGCGTGCTAAGAGGGACAGCAACCGAATTGTACTGACTTCAAGTCGCGACTGGGAATGCTTTCAAAAAATCAAATGGCATGCAGCTGACTGCCTTGTGGCAGTACTCTCACAATCACAGTGCATTTATTCGCTAGCAAGTTGGTTTCATGATTATCGTCCAATCAATCTCTACAAACTAAGTTCCATGAAGTTTCGTTCAGCCCAATCATGAAGTTGCTCTATTATTCTCGTCATTACAGTATGACCTGGCAATCAGAGTCACTGGCGGTCGCGAAGGTAAGAATTTCAGGAGAACATTTGCATGGAATGGTTTGCAATTTGTGCGAGCATCAAAATTTATATCAAGGGTAAATCCACACATAAATGCCCGTATTTTCCAAGTGGTTGAATTGAAATTAAGTTGACGGAAGAATCAATCGCAATAATCCCGATAAATCTATTAATATTATACCAAAAAGGAAAATGAGATCATCCAGCTTAACGATTCTTTCAATTAGTATTGGCTTTATATTGAAAAAAATGTTTTTGTCAAATACTTTGGCATTTAGATGTCGTAAGTGAAATTTTGTTGTAACTTACATTTTGCATTATTATTATGGACAATAGTGGTAATGAATGGTTAAATTTCAACAGATCTGAAAATACGTTCTCTAACTCTCACCACCCTTACTCCCAATATACCCTTAGCTACCCTTACTCTCACTACCCTTACTATCATTACCCTCACTCTCACTACCCTCACTCTCACTACTCTTACTCTCACTAACCTTAATTACTCTCACTACCCTTACTCTCATTACCCGTACTCTCTTTACCCTTACTTTCACTACCCTTACTCTCACTACCCTTACTCTCACTACCCTTACTCTCACTACCCTTGCACTCATTACCCTTGCTCTCACTACCCTCACTCTCACTACCCTTACTCTCACTACCCTTACTCTCACTACCCTTACTCTCACTACCCTTACTCTCACTACCCTTACTCTTACTACCCTTACTCTCAGTGCCCTTACTCTCACTACCCTTACTCTCACTACCCTTACTCTCACTACCCTTACTCTCACTACCCTTACTCTCCCTACCCTTACTCTCACTACCCTTACTCTCACCACCCTTACTCTCACTACCCTTACTCTCACCACCCTTACTCTCACTACCCTTACTCTCACCACGCTTACTCCCAACGAGACAGTGGACGGTTAATGCGGCATGGAATACCAACTATTGTTGTATTTAACTTTTATTTAAGTAGCAAAGCTTAGGAGTAATTAACGGCTCAACACAGGATAGCTCTTTGAAGTAGAATTAGACCGATGCTCTAAAACGAGTTTTTTTTATAAGTTTCGGTTATTGTATCACATTGCTGTATCGTGATTAAATTGAACAAACCGGGATCAAGCTTGTTATCTTATCTTTAATCAAGTTTGATGGAATGATGGGCGTCTAGGCGACGGAGCTGCAAGTGCAGCTGTAGCTTGTCACTTCGGCGTAGCACCACCATTGACTGTGTTCAAACAATTCAAAGGACTTGTTGAAAATTCAAAATAACCAATGTAGTTAAACGGGAGGTTGTGCGTGACTCGTGGCATGTTAACACTGCATGCTAACTCCGAATGATAAGCCGGCAGGTTAATGCGGCATGCTGACTCTGATCGTTCCTTGATAAGAAAATATTTTTTAACTGAGCCCATGAAGCCGATAATTCTTATAATAAAAAACCTCGCAACGCATGTCTTTCGGATCGATAGCGGCGATATGTGGTCTCATCGGTGTAATTTAACGCTATTCACCATACAAAGTTCCAAAATAAGTCGATGAGATGTAGCACACATTCATAATTGAACACGTTCTTCATTTTAAATTTATCACCTCTCGCTTTTAATCAAGCCAGAGTTTGGGAATATCAGCGCCCTCGCCCCCCTGGAATTATTTATATGCCATATTTCATTCAGTGTGTTTCTGGCTTCGTATCTTGGATACCACCCGAGTTTTGACGGTCGGGGCAGGTGACGATTGATTGGGTCGGTCTATCAACACTGCAGAAACTGCCTTAGAGTTCAAGCGCATCCTGAAATGAGAGTTTGGCAGCATAATTTTAATGGCAGCGGATAGTTTGAATTGTCACCTTGTTAAACTTGCATATACATGACTCACTGCTGTCCGAGCAATGAATACAGCCGTTCGATCGCAATCGCGTATTTACGTCTCGCTTAATTAAAAATCTTAAAAATCCATGCTTGATAATTTTGAACTCAGAAAACCCTGAGAATTATTCAAAAGATCAGTTCTTAACTCTCTGACGTACTTCTCATGCTTCTTCGATTTTCATACATACGTTTTTTCGGCACAGAATGAAATACCAATCAAACAGGAAGTCTTGCTCATCATTCAAATCGATTGTGTTTTGAGGAAGGACGCTTAAAAGCACGTCATATCCGAAAGATTAGCGCGTAGATTTCATAAGATCTCATACTTCGATTACCAGGTATAAATGGAATGAAATTTTGATCAATTTGAGAGTTACTGGTGTCCTTCTACAAATATTTAATCAAAATACCATATTTAATATCGTTAACAATGAAGTTTGACTGTTGCTCTGTGTCTCCAATAATTGCAATAATGGGAGGATCGATTCCTGGAGCACATATCGTCTGGCATTAAAATTGACAGATTTATAAACAATGTTAATATGCTCCAGGAGACTACAACTCTATAGGTATAAGTATTTATGCGATCCGCTTTCCTAAATCGCAAAAGAACCTCGAGTTGAAAAGCAAAGAAATTGTTATGTTAAAATTTTATTTAAACCTTTTCAATTCAACTTTGGTGAATTAACAAGGTACAATAAAAATTTTTATGGAATTTCGATGAATGCCAACAGCAGGACATTTCAGTAAATTGAACTCATCCTCACGTAAAATCATGAGAGAAAAATTATTCAATAGTAAACGTGTCAATAGAAACGACATCCAAGCGAGTCCAGCTATACAACACACAACGGAGACTTAATTGGAAGCTCAAGCTTATGATAAATTATGCAGCTCAAACTTCTATATAATATTTAAAACTAACTGCATGATCTGATCAACGGCATTATAGCTTGCATTTGTCATGGTCACGCCTCCTTCAATATAATACTTAGACTTAATCGAGAACGAGAAACTCAATTAATAAGATTATTGAGATAACAATGTCTAGCTTTTCACATATTGCCATGCTACTTTTCATTAATTGTCCAAGTCGATCTTTCTTTACAATACTTGCTCTGATCTTTCTTTACAAGACTTGCTCTGATAACTAATTGAAAACTGTCTGCAGCCTCGCGTTGCGATGCCACTGATAATTATCATTCGTGGTGAGCTTGCAAGAACTTGGAAAAAAATCCAATAAACCTGATAGAATATAAAAACGTGCTATGAGAACGTCAATGATTGGGTCGCATATATGATGATTGGGTCGATACAAAATTCACTGAGTTATATGACGCAAATGCATTCGTTTATTATGACATACCTTATTAACTTTAGTATGACTAACGTTTGTATAAAACAGATTCCATCTTCATACTTTCAATTTCATGAAAGATCCTATAACGCAACTCTTCCGAAATTTAATCGCTTTCCCATCAATCATTCGACCCCGCCACAGGAGGCACTTCAATACAATGAATTCATTCACCACAGGATATTTGTATTTTAATTTTCACGATGCATTCATGATATAATCCTTCAACAGGTGATGTTTCTTTCATGTTTCTTGAACATGTTCAAGAAACATGTTCATGACATGTTTCTTTCGAGGCAATGGACGAACTTTAGGTGCAACCTTCATTGATAATTTGTCATAAAATTTTTGAAGCCGCCTTATTATTAGTAATATTATTCCAGCTATTTGCTGGCAGTATGATTTAATACATGCATTTAATGGCAGGAAACGAAGCTGCTTATTTCTTGTTTCTGTAGGGAAATTTCTCCCTACGCTGGATGTAAACCTCTTCTAGAAGATGTAAAGCTAATATTTCAAAAGGATCAAAACAAATAGAGGCCAATGGAAGTAATTTAATCAGATATAATCGTTGCATGGAGTTCAGTTTTAATCTCAGATTTTATCGTAGGTCACTCGAAATGTAGAACAATTTAGTGACCCAGGCGGTCACGTAAGATAGAGGCCGACCAGTATGTATACTGTGAGAGAAAAAGACTTGTACTAACGCGCTTCAGGACAAATACTGCTAAAGTATTCAATTATGGAAATGTACAAATTTTATTTCAAGGTAGAGCTCACCTTATTAAATCAAAAATAAGTGCACATGTAGTGCTTTTAGAGGTGAAGTTTTATAGTAATATGCCGTTTGCCATTCGTAAGTTTGAACGCGGATGCATTTATATGATTGCAAACAGCAATCAGTTAACAATTTAATTGGTCGTCACTGTTCCACAAGTTACTATCCACCACAAAGATTGAACACCTTGACACTTCAGTTAATGTAAAGCGTAAAGTCAAGTTAAAGCTCAACGGAACCCGTCAAACAGAGTTTAATAGCAATTTAAGGTATTGGTCAAGATTAGTTTCAATTTTAGCTGATAATTCTTTAAGAGATAACACTGACAAAGCCTGACGGGCCTGCCAAAGTGTTCGAAAGGAGGTGACAGAAGCATGCACCCAAAATAAACAAATAACTCAGCAAGGGTTGTGCACAACAAAAAATAAAACTATCAGTAGAATACAGGGAAAATGTGGTGCAAAACCTAGAACAATAGGAACAGATAGGACCGCGGAAAACTTTGTGATAGACGTAAACATTTAAGGTAGCTAGTTTTGAGAGCTGCGGCCCCGGTCTTATATAGGCAGAGTAAGCTGTGCTTCTTCGTAGTTATTTCCAAGTAGTCAGGTTGGGAAATTTTCCCAACATTTCACCACTTCTAAAATTTTAAAAAATTTACCACAATTAAGTAATTTACTATAATATAAAAATATTATCAATTCCGGTGCGGCAATTGGCCACACATACGCACCATTATTCTGCTTACAAAGGAATATGAACTGATTTGCGCTCACTGAATCGCCCCCGTATAGTGGAGCTATCTAACAGTATTCGAGATTTCAACTCAATTTTTCACAGACCGAGTTTTTGTCGGGCTCAGCTTTCCCCCATGTACGCGGAGTCGGCTGGACGAGGTTCTCGTCATGAGGTTTCACTTGCGACTCGTACAACAATCCCGTCACTTAAGGTCATGAGACCAACTCGATCAAGTTTGCTGCAGACTAGGCGTACGTGGTCTCTATTTTAATAGATTATGGCCAAACTTATCATGTTGAACTTTTGTTGAGAGACGCAATTAAACCAATTTTGCTCTTAAAAAAATTCTTGCATTTTCTAAGTTGTATGAGCCAATAACTAATTTGATATCATAACAAATATATAAATGAATCACCGTTTAACTAATTAAATTTAAGAGCCTTGCTGCCTAGTATTGCATGCGCGACTGATTCAAACCCCCGACTTTTTGCCTCTGATCATTTGCTACAGCAGCACGACTGATTAATTATTGTACACAGTCAGTGTATATCAAGTAATATAATCCTTATTTTGGACATGTCACTGAAGATTGCTTACGATCCCAGATGCAATCACAACTGCGTTGCGCATATTCCCTTCTGCGCACTTGCGCATCCTGCTAGGATATTCCTTGTGGTGGTTCCTGCAGCGAGAATGAACAACCAGTTCAAACTTAAGATCCAAATAATGATAAAGAGGGAAATTCAGGAAATTTTTGTCTTGATAATGCAAACTTTATTATGTGCTTCCACAATATAAATTTGCATTTTTTGTCAAATGATGACGAATGGCATCTCTTAAGTTAATTCAGAATCAAATTGAATTATTTACTATTTTCCAAAAAAACGATGAATTGATACTATTAAAT